CGTTCTACTTCCCTATTATCACTGTAAACACAGTTCAATCCCAGTTTTTACTATGCCTTTTCTACAGAGTGTTGTTCCTCAAGTATACTGTAGTTACATGTTTTTCTTTCAGGGGCTACTGATTTTGTTCTATTGCAATTTAATTGTGAGATTATGTAGGAGGTGAATCTGTCGTCTTAACTGTCACAATACTAGACTCCTCCAATTTTCATTTGTTCAAATTTATCATTTTCCGTTATTTTTTTCTTCACTTTTAAGATTAGGAAAAAATTCCACTTTTAAGATTTCCCTACTTTAAGATTAAGGAAAAAATTCTCCACTTTAAGATTAGCAATATTTACTTTTTGTTCCAAATAGCTAACCACTTGTCCCCAAACCATATATTAAATGTTTTCAATATGTCCCCCACCTTGGTTCAGATATTGACTTTATATATTAATGGCTATGGAAGCATAGATTTAATTGGGATTTTACTCTATTATTTTGTCTATCCATTAAGTCAGAACCAAACTGTTAATTATAACTGCTTTACATCTTTACATTTTAATATCCAGTGGTATCAAAATTCCCCTTGCCCTGTTCTTTTTCCCCCAAAGTTTTCAAAACATTCCTCCATGTTTACTTTTCTTTTCTTTCTTTTTTTTTTTTTTTTAAGATTTCTTTATTTATTTATACAAGAACCGGGGTACAGACCAGATGCGCGGGAGGGTGAGAGAGGGTTCACCAGAGACAGAGCGGGGAACAGAACAGGCAGACTGACTGAAATACACTGCTGAGGGGAGCAGCAGGCGAGACAGGAGAGGTCTGCGCCCTGTGGGACCCTCGCTGGCCAGCTGGGATCGAACTGGCGCTGCAGAGGCTGCGGACAGCTTCACAGTGCGGCACTCAACCGCATGCGTCACCAGGGGAGGCCCCATGTTTATTTTTGAGTATCAACTTAAGAACCAACTTATCTACTATAAAAAATGAACCAATAAGAAAACAACAACAAAAAAAATCAACTGGCACTTTAATTTTTAAATGAATTCGGAAAGAAATGACATCTTTATAAAATTCTTATTAAAGGGTCATAGTCTGTCTCGTAAATTTTAAGTTTTCTTTCCATCAGTTACATATATTTGATTTTTATTGTCTTATATGTATTGTTTCCTTTGACATATTTTTATTTATTTTTTTTTTTTTAATAAATTTTATTGTTATATTCCCCATACAATTGCAGCCCCCCCATTCTGACCCCAATCCCTCCCCTCCCACCCCCGCCCCCCTAAAAGTGTCTCTGGTTCATAGTTTTTTGTTGATTTTGATTTTCACTTTCTTATAGTTATTCATTTTCCTGGTCCCTTATTTAAGTTTTCTAGATTCCTGCTATGAGTGAGACCATCCGGTATTTTCTTTTTCTTTTGGCTTATTTCGCTGAGCATGATCCCTTCCAGCGCCATCCATGTTGCTGCAAATTGCATGTGTTTATCTTTTTTGAATGCTGAGTAATATTCCATGGTATATATGTACCACATCTTCTTGATCCAGTCATCTATTTTTGGGCATTTGGGTTGTTTCCAAAGCTTAGCTATTGTAAACAGTGCTGCTATAAACATAGGGGTGCAGGTGTTCTTTGGAATTGATGTTTCTGTGTCCTTTGGGTAAATACCTAGGAGTGGAATTGCTGGATCATATGGAAGCTCTATGTTTAGTAGGTCCAGAAATCTCCATACAGCTTCCACAGTGGTTGGACCAGTTTGCACTCCCACCAACAGTGCAGAAGAGTTCCTTTTTCTCCACACCCTCGCCAACATTTGTTGTTGCTAGTTTTTTTAATATGTGCCATTCTCACTGGTGTGAGATGGTATCTCATGGTAGTTTTGATTTGCATTTCCCTGATGACAAGTGATGTTGAACATTTTTTCATATGCCTGTTGGCCATTTGCATTTCCTCTTCAGAGAAGTTTCTTTTAAGCTCTTCTGCCCATTTTTTGACTGGATTATTTTCTTTGTTGTTGTTGAGTCTCATCAGCTCTTTGCAGATTTTTGTGATCAGTCCTTTATCATTAGTGTTGGGTGCAAAAATGTTCTCCCAGTTGGTGGGTTTCTCTTTGTTTTTGTTATTGTCTCTTTTGCTGTGCAAAAGCTCTTTAATTTGATGTAGTCCCAGCTGTTTATCTTTGCCTTCACTATCACTGCTTTGGGTGATGTGTCTGTAAAGATGTCTTTGGTGTGCAAATCACGTAGTGTTTCGCCTATATTTCCTTCTATATATTTTATGGTTTCAGGTCTTATGTCTAGTTCTTTAATCCATTTTGAGTTGATTTTTGTGTATGGTGTGAGGTGGTGGTCAAGCTTCATTCTTTTGCATGTAGCGACCCAGTTTTCCCAGCACCATTTATTGAACAAACTTTCTTTGCTCCAATGCATATTCTTTGCTCCTTTGTCAAAGATTAGTTGACCATAAATCTGTGGGTTTATTTCTGGATTTTCTATTCGATTCCATTGGTCTGTATGTCTGTTCTTGTTCCAATACCATGCAGTTTTGATGATTATGGCTTTGTAGTATAGTTTGAAGTCTGGGAGTCTGATGCCTCCATTCCTTCTTTTTTTCAGGAGAGCTTTGGCTATTCGGGGTTTTTGGTGATTCCATATGAATTTCATCAATAATTGTTCTATTTCTTTGAAGAATGACATTGAAATTTTGATTGGAATAGCATTGAATCTGTATATTGCCTTTGGTAGGATGGCCATTTTAATAATGTTTATTCTTCCAATCCATGAGCAGGGGATGTCTCTCCATTTCTTTGTGTCTTCTTCTATTTCTTTTAACAGTGTTTTATAGTTTTCTTTGTATAGGTCCTTTACCTCTTTTGTTAGATTTATTCCCAAATATTTGATTTTTTTTGTTTCAATAACAAAAGGGATGGTCTTTTTGATTTCTTCTTCTTCAGATTTATTGTTTGTGTATAGGAAGGCTACTGACTTTTGCGTGTTGATTTTGTATCCTGCCACTTTACTGAACTGATTGATGAGTTGAATTAGCTTTTCTGTGGAGTTTTTGGGGTTCTCTATGTATAATATCATATCGTCTGCAAATAGTGATAGTTTGACTTCTTCTTTTCCTATTTGGATTCCTTGATGTCTTTCTCTTGTCTTATTGCCCTGGCTAGGACTTCCAGTATTATATTGAAAAGCAATGGTGAGAGTGGACATCCTTGTCTTGTTCCAGATCTTAATGGAATTGCTTTCAGCTTTTCACCATTGAGAATGATACTGGCTGTTGGCTTGTCATAGATGGCCTTTATGATGTTGAGGTATGTTCCTTGTATCCCCAGAATTTCAAGGGCTTTTATCATGAATGGGTGTTGCACTTTGTCGAAAGCTTTCTCAGCATCTATTGATATTATCATATGGTTTTTATATTTCTTTTTTGATGTGTTGGATAACGTTGATTGATTTTCGGATGTTAAACCATCCTTGTGCCCCTGGAATGAATCCAACTTGGTCGTGGTGAATTATCTTATGGATACATTGTTGGATTCTGATAGCTAAAATTTTATTGAGGATTTTTGCATCAGTGTTCATTAGGGAGATTGGCCTGTAGTTTTCCTTTTTTGTGTTGTCCTTGTTCGGTTTTGGTATTAGTGTAATGTTGGCTTCATAAAACGTGTTTGGTATTGTCCCTTCCTTCTCAATTTTTTGGAAGAGTTTGTGAAGGATAGGCACTAATTCGTCTCTGAATGTTTGGTAGAATTCATTTGTAAATCCATCAGGTCCTGGGCTTTTGTTTTTGGGGAGGTTTTTGATTACCATTTCAATTTCGCTAATTGTAATTGGTCTGTTTAGGTGTTCTATTTCTTCTTTATCTAGCTTTGGGTGATTGTAGAGTTGTAGGAATTTGTCCATCTCCTCTAGATTGTTAAACTTGTTTCCATATAACTGTTCATAGTAGTTACTGATTATTCTTTTGATTTCTGCTGTGTCCGTTGTGATTTCTCCTCTTTCATTGATGATCCTGTTTATTTGTGCTTTCTCCCTTTTTTCCTTTGTGAGCCTGGCTAGGGGTTTGTCTATTTTATTGATTTTTTCAAAGAACCAGCTCTTGGTTTCATTGATCTTTTGGATTGTTTTTTTAGTTTCAATTTCATTTATTTCTGCTTTGGTTTTTATTATTTCTTTTCTTCTACTGGTTTTGGGGTTTTTTTGTTGTTCTTTTTCTAGATCTTTGAGCTTCGAGATGAGGTTGTTTCTTTGCGTTCTTTCTTGTTTCTTGATGTGAGCTTCTATTGCTATATATTTTCCTCTTATTACTGCTTTTGCTGCATCCCATACATTTAGGATATTAGTGTCCTCCTTGTCGTTCAATGCCTTTGACATATTTTTAAATGGGAGTTGCTTATTCTGTGACTTCATCTATGTGAGCAGAGATGATTCTATTTTTTTCCTTCAAAACTGTACACTTTTTAAATCATTTCTACTGTCTTTCAGAATGTTAACCAATAGTGGGAAGCAGAGTCATCATTGCAATGTTTCTAACTTTACTGGAATACAGTGTTTTGTAATGAAAAGATTTACCTTATTTTCGCATATCTAATTGAAAATGAAAAAAATTAGGGAGTTGCTAGAATTTTAAAACTATTATTTTACAGTTAATTTAGGTCATCAAAACAAAAGATGAAATGGTAACATTTTTCAGTTTTGAAGCTAGTGTTAAACTCCCTATATCAACTTGCTATCAAGTTAACAAGCTCCAAAAAAGGTACTAAAATGCTCTTTTACAGTCACAAGTTTCCTATTAAAATGTTGGAATAACTAAATTAATTAATGGAGTCTGTCAAATTAAGGTATATTTGGGGATAACTTTAAGTTTTTAGTTAGGAGAAATTGTATCTTTAAAGGTTAATACAACACAGGAGTTCTAGTACTTAAACAAGAATTTAGATCATATCATTTTTATGACTTAAGTATTTTTTGCTAACATTGTTTTTAATCAAAGGAAGACATGCTAGAATACTCACGTAATTGCACGACAGCACTTTCTCCATTTGTTGCAATGTAGTGCAGTGTTTGTTCTCCATAATAAGAAGCTCCTGTCTTGTCAACCTCTGTACTAGCTATTACCAGCACAGCAGTAGCTATAACAGTAAAAACTTTAATTAGACTTAAAACAAAAATTAAGAAAACAATGAGACTCTTTTCTCAATGCATAGGAACATTAGTCTAGATTAATACTTGGTAAACAAAATGAGAGATAAAATATTTATCATACCTTTTTTATTCCATAGCATTGTAACTTTATCAGCCTTAAAAAAACTTTTGTTGGCTAAAGCTGCATGAGGTCCATCAAAGTTGGGGTACTGATATAATCTAACAAATGAAGGTGCACCTTTACTTCCTGGAACATAAACAGCCACCTGAGATATACAGACATGAAACATTAATTTTCTTAAGCATATAAACTAAGACAGTTTTTACAGCCACTAAAAAGTAGGAAAAAATTTAATCTCATAATATCCCACATGAACAAATTAAAACAGCAATTACCTTGTATGGTTGAGGTCCAGGTGATAACACAAAATCACTGATTTTTTGCAAATGCAGTTTATTTGCAATTGTGCCTTGAAAAAAAGTAAATGGTGTTAGGTAATGTGATAGGTGCTCAAGTCTGGGTTGCGTTATGCCACCATTGGTATATGTGAACAGTTACCAATTCCTATTCTACTCTAATATGCTTAAAAGTACACAGTTCACTAATGGGATACTGTAAGGACAAAAGGCACTGCAAACATTTTTCTTTCAAATTACTTTCGCTAATTATGTTATGTTGTTACTGTTGGTGTTGCTATTCTAAGATTGCTATATGGTTAATGTGGGGCAAAGCAAATGGATAATTAACTATCACCCCTGGCATCCCAGAAAACCTGGATTCTTGGTTTTGGCAAAAGGCAAAACAGATGTAACAGAAAAAAGAATAAGAAGAGCCTAGAAACAATGATCAATGCAGTAGCAATGATAACCCCTTACATGTGTACCACATTGTGGTCTTTAAATACTATTTTCCACTAAAAAGAATTAGAGTCTCTTAGGGAATTGGTTGATTCTCAGTATAAGATAGAAAATACACAAGATAATCCTAGACTGGCTTGCTTACTATATAAAGAAGTCATTAAAGATTAATTGATCAAGGGTAAATATTTGGGCATCAATACAAAGAATAATTACAATGGATTGAACACATCACATATGTTTAAATACATATGGCTGCAATGAAGGTCACAAGAGAAAGAACTCATTACATCAAAGGTGATGAAGGGAATGAATATTATTCCTTTCCTATATAACTGGTATCACTAGGCAACCTAACAGATTGTAAGAGGGGGAGGGTTCTTTATAGAAGAAGTACAGCTAACAAATGAGGGGGAATTAAAAAATCATCAATGTGTAAGCACTCATGAAATGAGAACAATATGTCCTGGATGGTTTCACTTACATGTGAAACACAGAGAAATCAAACAAAGGATTAGACAAAGATAACACTTTAAAGCTGCCCCTTGAAAGTTGATCATACTTCGAAGACATTCAGGAGGGGTTAAGGGAAAGGGGAGAGAGAGGGGGGAGAAAAAGGAGTGGTAGTGTGGGAGTAGAGAGCACAATGGACTATGGAGGAAAATTATTTGTGCTTTGGTGGTGGGAGAACTATGGTAACCACAAGTGAAGGAGAAATCCTATATTGTGAAAAAAATCAACAAGGATATAAAATAATGGCACTCCATTAAAAAAATGTATGTTCACAAAAAAAAAAAGAAAAAATGGATCTAGGCAACAGGCATTAATGTCAGTTAACCTTAAATACTAAAGACATACTTCTTAAGAAGCACTGCCTTATGATGCTGTCTTGCCCTCACAAAATTCTTGCTCCCCAAAAAAGAATGTGAAGCTAACTCTAGATCCAGATAGCTATTTACAGGGTGGAGATGAACATGTTAAATTACAGAATGGACAGTAATAGCAAAATTCAAACTATGGGAAAATTTATAAGTAGCCTTGTTTTGTAAATAATAAATTACAAGGGTGGGGGGAAAAACAGAGAGAGGATATATAGCTTAAAAGACACTTTTAGAGGACTAATTAATTGCTTTTCACAATGAGTTTGCTGCCAAAACATGGGTGTCCTGAAGCCACAGTTAAACTAAGCCAAAATGGGAAAGGAAAAGACTCAGGTCAATATAGTAATTGGACATGTTGATTCAGACAAGTCTACCACTACTGATCATCTAATCTATAAACACAATAGGATTGACAAAAGAACCATCAAAAATTTGAGGAGGAGGTTGCTGAGATGGCAAAAAGCTCCTCCAAGTATCTGGATACTGAATAAACAAAAGTTGCACATGATTGTGGAATCACTATCAATATCTCCCTGTGGAAATTCGAGACTAGCAAGTATTATATAACCATCATCGATGCCCCAAGACGCAGACAGACTATCAAAAAATATGATGCATCTCAGGTTGACTGTGCTGTCCTTATTGCTGCTGCTGCTGGTGGTAAATTTGAAGCTGGTATATCCAAGAATGGGAACACTTGTGGGCTTGCCCTTCTGTCTCACACACTGGTTGTGAAACAACTAATTGTTGATGTTAACAAAATGGACTCTATGAAGCCACCCTACAGTCGGAAGACATACAAGGAAACTTAAAGAAGTTAGTACACAGATTAAGAAAACTGGCTCAACACTTGACACAGTAGCATTTGCTCAAATTTCTGGTTGGAATAGTGACACGTTGGAGTCAAGTACTAACATGCCTTGCTTCAAGGGCTGGAAAGTCACTCACAAAGATGACAAAGCCAGTGGACCCACATTGCTGGACACTCTGGGTTGCGTTATGCCACCAACTTATCCACCAGACAAGCCCTTGTGCTTACAAAACCCCTCTTCCCCACCTCCACTCCAAGCGGGCCAAAAAATTGGTGGTACTCAGTCTGCCCAATTGGGTTGAGTTGAGACTAGGGTATTCAACCTGCCACAGTGGTCACCTTTGCTTCAGTCAATGTTACAATTGAAGTCTGTTGAAATGCACCATGAAGTTTTTTTTTAAAGATTTTATTTATACAAGCACTGGGTACAGTCAGAAGGGTGGGAGGGTGAGAGAATTCACCAGAGCCAGAGTGGGGAGCAGAGCAGGCAGAAGGACCGAAGTACACTGTCAAGGGGAGCAGCAGGCGGCAGGAGAGGTCTGCGCGCCATGCGGGACCATCCTCTGGCCAGGGAGCAGCCGGGGAGCGAACCGGTGCCGCAGAGGCTGCGGGCAGCTTTGCAACCCAGCGCTCAACCGCTGCGCCACCGGGGAGGCCCACCATGAAGTTTTGAGTGAAGCTCTTCTTGGGAACAATGTGGACTTCAATGTCAAGAATGTGTCTGTCCACACAGATCAATGGAACCAAAAAGAAAGCCCAGAAATAAAGCCACACATATATGGACAACTAATCTTAGACAAAAGAGCAAAGAATATGCAATGGAACAAGGACAGTTTGTTCAATAAATGGTGCTGGGAAATCTGGCTCACCACATGCAAAAAGAATGAAATTAGACCACTACCTCTCACTGTGCACAAAAATCAACTTAAAATGGATAAGAGAACTGGACATAAGACCTGAAACCATAAAATATATAGAAGAAAATATAGGAAAAACACTACAAGACATACATCTCAGTAACATCTTTAAAGACCCATTACTCAAAGCAAAGAAAGTCAAGGAAAAGATAAACACCTGGGATTACCTCAAACTGAAAAGCTTCTGTATAGCAAAAGGGACACTAACCAAAACAAAGAGACACCCCACTAATTAGGAAAAAATCTTGGCACTCCATATAACTGATAAGGTACTGATCACAAAGATAAACAAAGAGCTCAAAGGACTCAGCAAGAACAAAGTAAACAATCCAGTTAAGAAATGGGCAGAAGAACTTAAAAGACAATTCTCCAATGAGGAAAATGCAAATGGCCAACAGGCATATGCAAAAATGCTCAACATCCCTTATAATCAGGGAAATGCAAATCAAAACCACAATGAGATACCACCAGTAAGAATGGCACACATTAAAAAAACTAGCAACAACAAATGCTGGCAAGGATGTAGTGAAAAAGGAACTTTCCTACCTTGCTGGTAGGAGTGAAAACTGGTCCAATCACTATGGAAAGCTGTCTGGAGGTTCCTCAGTCTACTAAAAATGGAGCTATCATATGACCCAGCAGTTCCACTCCTAGGGATCTACCCAAAGGACACAAAAACATGTCCCTGTTTATTGCAGCACTATTTACAATAGGTTAAACAACCCAAATGCCCCAAAATAGATGACTGGATCAAGAAGATGTGGTGTATATACACAATAGAGTACTATTCAGCAATCAAAAAAAAGATACTCAATGCCATTTGCAGCAACATGGATGGAGCTAGAAGGAATTATGCTCAGTGAAATAAGCCAGAAGGAAAAAGAAAAATATTGGATGATTTCACTTATAGGAGTAATATAGGGGAACCAAATAAGACATCAGGGGAAAAAAACAGTAACAATACAAAACACAACAAAACTGACAATTATAAACCAGAGACATCCTGCAGGGGAGGAGGAGGGAGAGGGATCAGAGAGAGGGAGGGAGGAGCACAGGGGACTGTGGTGATGGTGCACGGGTGAACTGGTGAAGGAAAGTCTATGGGGACTATACCTGAGAGGGGGAAAAAAGCAAACATTGTTTAAAAATGAACAATGATGTTTTATATATATATATATATATATATATATATATATATATATATATATATAAAATAAAAAAAGAATGTGACTGCCAAGAATGTTCATGGTAGCAATATATATGGATGGTGACAGCAAAAATGAGCCACCAATGGAAGCTATTAGCTTTATAGCACAGATGATTTTTCTGAACCTTCCTGGCCAAATTAGTGCTGGAAATGTACCTGTGCAGGACAGTCACACATTGCTTACAAGTTTGTTGAGCTAAATATTGTTATTATGGGGGAAAAAAACTGGAATATGGCCCCTAAATTGCTGAAATCTAGTGATGCTACCATAGTTAATGTGGTTCCTGGCAAGCCATGTATGTTGTGAGCTTCTCTAACTACCCCCTTCTGGGTCATTTTGTTGCTCATGACATGAGGCAGGCAGTTGTTGTGGGTATCATCAAAGCAATAGATAACAAGGCAGTTGGAAATGACAAGGTCACCAAGTCTGCTAGGTAAGCTCAGATTGCTAAATATTATCCCCCATATCTGCCACCCAAGTCTTAATCAGTGATGGAAGAATGGTCTCAATTTCAATTGACCATTTAAGTTTAATACTAAAAGAGTGATTAATGATAACAAAGCATTGTAAAATCTTTAGAAGGAAAGGAGAAGGTCTTGTGGACCACTTAGTCTTTTGATGTTTGTTGAAGTTTTAAATTATTAATTTTTAAAATTGGTATTATGTCATATAAACAACTTGACCAAAAATCTCTCACAGAATTTTGAGAGCCATTAAAAAAGAGCATTATTAATGAGGGAAAATAAAATTACTATTCAATTGCGTGTGAGGGACCTTATTTGAATCCTAAGCTTTCAAAACACAAAAGTAACATTTGCAATTATTAGAATTTATAATCTGTGCTAATGGTATTGTGGTTAAGTTTTTAAAAAGGGGGAGGGACAAAAACATAAAAAGGAAAGCAGCACAAAGTTCTATGGTAGTAGACTATGGCAACAATATCTGAAGAAGGGGGAATCCTACATTTAGATTAGACTCCTAACCTTCAGAGATACATAATGCAATATTTATAGGCAAATTACATGATGTCTGGGATTTGCTTTAGTAGAGTAAGAGAGATGGTAGATGGACAGATTTACAAATGAGTGGGGCTGGCAATGGGTAAATGGTCATAGGTACTAGCTGTCTATTTTTGTGTTTGAAATTCTTTACAATATAATATTTTAAAAAATTATATCAGAGAATTTCAATAGTACTTAAAACTAGAAACAGGTACTAAAATGTCTTCATTTAATGACAATTACTAGATAATAAAGCTATTATAAAAGAAAATCTTTGTTATAAAATTTCATTAGTTTTTAAATCTATGAGTCATTCAAATCAATTGATATAACAATTATTCTTAATATAGTATCCATAAGTAGGAGATTCTATGCCATGTAAATTAATACAAACTATATATTTATAGCAAATAATAAATTACATAAATAATTTCATAAATCTTTCCTTACTAAAATTGTTGTTTTCAAAGAAGTGAACTTCATTGTTAACATTTCGGGCACATATAGCTTCATCTTCTGACCAGGCTGGACACCTACATTGAAAAGCAAAAATATTTTTAAAAATTTTGACAAAATGTAACACTACAAGTTAACATGCTAAAGTTTCTGACATATTATTTAAGGTATATTATTTGTCAGTTATTAATAGTTTTACTCAGCTTATTTACTTAATAGGAAAATATTGTTCCTTTTCATTCTAATACCAAACAAAAGACTAACTTTTTACTCTTACATTTGCATATGCAAAAATCCAGGGATCTAGATTTTGGCATGAAAAGTTATTTTCTAAACCAATACCAGAGAAATAAATACTACATACTTAAGATATTTAAAATACTTTACAAATAATTAGTACTTTGAAGTATTTATTTACCAATTTTGCATTTTTTTCTGGATGAAAGACTTTAAACATGTCCCAGTTTTCACTTCATAGAGTTGTAGGTTGGGTATCCCAGCTGTGCCATCTTTAGCAGCTGCAATAAAAATATTTTTTTGGGGGGTAGTAATTAGCTCCTAACATTAGTAAAAGGATTTCATGCTTACAAAAAATTGAATAAGATTACATAGATCAAATAAGAGATTTGGTTTAAATCAACTTTTCCCTCTAGCTTTAAAGCCATGAGAGTAGAATAAATGAGTAAATTACTACAGATTTTAAGAATACTTGAAATTACCTATTAGTTTAACATCACTTCCTGTTAAATGGATCAAATTGTCTTATTATGAAAGCTGAGTCTATTGGTCACACACACACACAAAAGCTAAATAAAACCACTTATGATTTGCAATTAATTCGTTTCATTTACTTGGAAAAAATAACCTGCATTAGAGTACATGCCTCTTGGATAAACAAAACTGGGATATTTATAACTGAAAAATAAGCTATTATCATATTTATTCAACACTCTGTATAATTAGAAAATATTTCTTAAAATAAGTCCATATGACAATATTTTATTACTCACTTTTAAGCAAAACTAAATAAAATATTCATATAATGTATTATCATATATCTTAAAAGTGTTAGAACACACCATTTCCTATACTTCGTCATTCCATACACATTTCTTAGATGCTGTCTACTGTACTTCCATTTTTATAATCATCATAAAAAAAATTTTTGACGGTCATTTGTATTGTTAATGTTGATTCCTTCTTTATCCATTGGTTATATACTTTTGAAATTATTTAATTTCATTTTTGAGGATTGTAAGGTTCTCATTGTATTTGGGGAGTATAAGGCTCACTGTTAATTAAAAATATTCACAAACACTATATGCTATCATAAAGATTAATTACATTATTGTAAGGTTATAGACTTTTTCTTTTCTCTCCTCTAACCTGGTCCTGTCAGAATATTTTCACAATTGGAAAATACTTACTCGTGTAAGGCTGCCATGTTGCCAGGACAGTGTTTTTTGGCGAGAACTCTAAGCAAACTGCCTTTGGGAGGTCGAAGGAGTGCAGTAATCCCTTGTTAGTGACACTGATAACATTTACTCTGGTTTCAAAAGAAATTACTTCAGCAATGAAAATTGTTTTACAAAATCAGAGCTATCCAAAACATTAGTATCTCTTCAAATACAGATCACTCTAAAGTGTTCATTTTTCTTAAACATTTATTTTCAGTTAATTTTAGAAAATATCCAATAAACACCTTGACTTAAAAAGTCTACAATTTTACCCAATGGCTCCATGTAAGGTTGGGCTACAGAATTAGCAGAATGATGCAACAGATGCTTTCACCTTTAGCTGAAAAGCAACAGGACTTTAAATGGCAGAGCTAACCAATAGACAAACTGAGGTCTACTAAAGCAAAGGGAAAAGAGACTGTATTTTTTAATTTTAGTAAATGGAAGCTGTAGCAGCTAGGAAAATTAGCAAGGAGATTTCTGGCGTCTGTTAAATTCTCAAAAGCAGTCTCCAGATATGACTGTAGCCTTTGGGTAGGATGGCCATTTTGACAGTGTTAGTCATTCTGATCCATGAGCAGGGAATATCTTTCCATCTCTTTGTGTGTCTTCTATTTCATTTAACAACGACTTACAGTTTTCTTTGCATGGGTCCTTTACCTATTTTGTTAGATTTACACCTACATACTTAGTTTTGGGTTGTTTTGTTTTTTCTTTGACATACTGTGATGGGATTGTTTTCTTAATTTCTCCTTCGAGATCACTGTTCACATATAGGAAAGTCATTGATTTTTGTTTACTGATTTCACAAGCTGCCACTTCGATGAACTGATTTATTGTTTCAATTAGTCTTTCAGTGCAGTCTTTATGATCATTATGAATGATCATGTTGTCTTCAAATGATAGCGTACTTCTTTCCATTTAAGATTCCTTTTATATCTTTCTCTTGCCTAATTACTCTCGCTAGGACTTCCAATTTTATGTTGAATAGTAGTGGTGAGAGAGGACATCCTTGTCCAGTACCAGAGCTCAGTGGGATATTTTCAGCTTTTCACCATTGACAATGATGTTAGCTGTAGGTTTGTCATATTTGATCTTTATTATGTTGAAGGAATTTTCCATTTATCCCTAGTTTTTCAAGGGCTTTCTTCATAAATGGGTGTTAAATCTTAACAAATGCTTTCTTGGCATCTATTGATATTATCATGATTTCTATCTTCCTCTCTTGATGAGCTGAATTATGCTGACTGATTTTCAGATGTTGAACCACCTTTGTGTCCCTCGTATTGATCCCCCTATATAATGATGTATAATACTGTCATGATGTATAATACTCTTAATGCACTGTTGGATTTGGTTTGTTAACATGTTATTGAGAAAGTTTGCATCTGTCTATTAGGGAAATTTGTCTGTAGTTTTCTTTCTTTCTGTTGTCTTTGCTTGGTTTTGGTATTAAAGTAATGTTTACCTCATAAAAGTTGTCTGGAAGTAAGGGGGGTAAAGAAGAAATAGAATACCTAAACAAAGCAATTACAAGCGATGATACTGAAACAGTAATCAAAGCTCTGCCATAAACAAAAACCCAGGACCAGACGGTTTCACAAATGAGTTCTACCAAACGTTCAAAGATGAATTAGTGCCTGTCCTACAAAAACTCTTACAAAAAAATCAAAAAAGAAGAAATACTATCAAATTCATTTTCTGAAGCCAACATTACACTACTACCAAAACCAAACAAAAAAAGAAAACTACAGGCCAATCTCCCTAATCAACACTGATGCAAAAACCCTCAATAAAACCCTAGTAAACAGAATCCAACAATATATCCAAAGGGTGATATACCATCATCAACTAGGATTTATTACAAGGGCACAAGGATGATTCAACATCTGAAAATCAATTAATGTAATTCAACACATCAACAAAAAGAAAAAGAAAAAAACATATGATCGTAACAATAGAGGCTGAGAAAGCATTTTACGAAGTTCAACATCCATTTATGATGAAGGCCCTTGAAATTCTTGGGACAGAAGGAAAATACCTTAACATAATAAAAGCCTATATGACAAACCCATACCTAGTATCATTCTCAAAGGTGAAAAGCTGAAAGCCTTACCTTTAAGATCTGGAACAAGACAAGGATGTCCACTCTCACCACTGCTTTTCAATATAATATTGGAAGTCCTAGCCAGAGCAACAAGGCAAGAGAAAGTCATACAAGGAATCCAAATAGGGAGAAAAAAAGTAAAACTATCACTATTTGCAGATGATATGATAATATACATAGAGAAACCTAAAAACCCTACAGAAAAACTAATTAATGAGTCAGTTTAGTAAAGTAGCAGGATACAAAATCAACACACAAAAATATCAGTTGCCTTCTCATATGCAAAGTCTGAAAAAGAAATTTAAAAAACTATCCCTTTCACAATTGTACCAAAAAAAAAAAAAATCAAATACATGGCAATAGACCTAACAAAGGAGGTGAAAGACATATACAAAGAAATTTATAAAATATTGTTAAAATAGAAGACACAAAGACCAATACCTCACGCCATGCACAAAAACAACTCAAAATGGATAAAGGAATTGAACATAAGGCCTGAAACAGTAAAATACAGCAGAAAACAAAGGTAAAATACTCCATGATATACATCTCAGAAATATCTTTAAAGACTCATCCCCCAAAGCAAAGAAAATGAAGGAAAAGATAAACAGCTGGGATTATTTCAAACTAAAAAGCTTCTGTATAGCAAGAGGCAATAACCAAAACAAAATAACAGAAAGACATCCCCTGCACATGGACTGCAAGAATTAACATTATCAAAATAGCCATCCTACCAAAAGCAACTTACAGATTCAACACAATGCCTATAAAAATCTCAATGGCATTCTTCAAAGAAATAGAACAAATATTGCTGAAATTCATATGAAATAACAAAAACCTCAAATAGCCAAAGCACTCCTGACTACAATGAAGGAGAATGGAGGCATCACATGCCTCGACTTCAAACTATACTACAAAGTCATAATAATTAAAACAGTATGGAACTGGAACATAAACAAACACAGACCAATGGAATCAAATTGAAAACAGAGAAATAATGTCACACATACATGGACAACTGAGCTATGACAAAGGAACAAAGAATATGCAATAGAACAAGGATAGTCTGTTCAATAAATGGTGCTGAGAAAACTGGATCACCACATGCAAAAGAATGAAACTAGACCACTACCTCACACCATGCACAAAAACAACTCAAAATGGATAAAAGAACTGAACATAAGGTCTGAAACCATAAAATACACAGCAGAAAACAAAGGCAAAATACTCCATGATATACATCTCAGAAATATCTTTAAAGACTCATCCCCCAAAGCAAAGAAAATGAAGGGAAAGATAAACAGCTGGAATTATTTCAAACAAAAAAGCTTCTGTACAGCAAGAGGCAATAACCAAAGCAAAGAAATACCCTACTGATTGGGAGAAAATATTTGAGATTCACGCAACTGGTAAGAGACTGATTTCAAACATCTATAAATTGCTCACAAGACTCAACAAAAACAAAGCAAACAATCCAGTCAAAAGATGGGCAGAAGAGCTAAAAAGACACTTCTCCAAAGAGGAAACACAGGCCCTCCCCGGTGGCGCAGCAGGTTGAGCAGCCTCTGCAGTGCAGTTTGAAAACAAACTGTACAAAAATGAAAATTATGTAAAATACATATTTAGAACTAAATGGGAAAAAAGTTGGAAATATGCCTTCTTTCTCAATTTTTTGAAAGAGTTTCAGCAGGATATGTAAAAGTGCATCTTAGAAGGTTTAGTAGAACCTTTAGTGATACAGTCTGGTCCTAGATTTTTGGTTTTTTTGAGTGCGTTTTGATTACTGTTCCAATTTCCTTGCTTATGACTGGTCTATTCTGGTTTTCCATTTCTTCACTATTTAGTCTCAGATGACTGAGTAATTCTAAGAATTTGACCATCTCTTCTTGGTTATTGAACTTATTAGCATATAAATGCTCATAATAATCTCTTATTATCCTTGAATTTCTGCAGTGTCTGTTGTAACTTCTCTTTCATTTCTGATTTAATTTATTTGAGGGCCTCCCTAGTGGCACAGAGGTTAAAGACAGTGCTATCAAGCTGTGGCCAACCACTGTAGCACAAGTTTGACCCCTGGCCAGGCAGGGAGCAACCCACATGGTGCAACAGACCTCTCCTGCTTTGCCCGCTGCTCCCCTCAGCAGTGTATTTCAGTAGATTTGCCTGTTCTGCTCCCCACTCTCTGGTGAATCCTCTCAACCCCAAACCTCTGGCTTATACCCCAATTCTTGTATGCATAAATAAATCTTTAAAAATAATAATAATGATGATAATTTGAGTTTTCTCCCTTACATGTGTAGTGAGCTTAGCTAAGTTTGTCAATTATGTTTATTTTTTCAAAGAATCAGTTTCTGATTTCATTACCTCTTCAGAATTGTCTTTTTAATTTCTAATTTGTTTATTTATGCTCCAATTTTTATTATTTCCTTTGTTCTACTAGCTTTTGGTTTCATTTGTTCTTTTTTCAAGCTTCTTGAGGTAAGAGATGAGATTAGTTGAACTCTTTCTTGCTACTTGATGTGGGATAGTATATCTGTATACTTCCCTCGTAGTACTGCTTTTGCTGTGTTGCATAGGTTCTGGAGGGTCATGTCCCTATTGTCATGTTTTGAGGTATTTTTTTTTATTTTTTCTTTGATTTCCTCATTAACCAAACAGTCTTTCAGTGGTGTGTTGTTCAATCTCTACCTTATAGTTTTCCCTGCTTTCTTTTTGTGGTTGATTTCTAGTTTGATACCATTGTGGTCAGAGAAGATGATTTCAATCTTTATGAATTTGTTGATACTTATGTCCATTATGTCAATAATCCTGGGGAATGTCCTTAAGAAATATACTTGAGAAAAATTTATATTCAACTTTGTGGGAGTGCAAGGCCCTGTATATATCTACTAGGTTCCTGTGATGTAATTCTTTAAGGCTTCTGTGTCTTTATTTTCTGTCTAGTTGATATGTCCAATGGTGAAAACAGGGTGTTGAAATCTACTGCTACAAATGTATTTTCTCCAAAATCTGTTTTCAGAATTGATAGTAATTTAGTATATTGTGGTGCTCCTCCATTTGATAAGCATATATTGACGAGTATTTGTCTTCCTATATATCATTCCCTTAATCACTATATTTTTGCAAGACCAGTTTTGTAATTTGGTTAGTTTAGGTAACTTAGAATATATTACACATAATTTTGAATAACTTAGATGATATACTTTTATATATAATTAGTAGTAACAGCTGCAGAAATTTCTACTAATTTAACAGCAAGATAAAAAGTATCTAAATCTAAGCAAAGAGAGTTATTCTTTAAGCATTATGCAGAACCTTAACTAGCAACTTAAAGCACTATTTAAAACAATCTCTCAGTTAGTTCTGCCCTAAATTAGTTGTCTTTTCGTATATGCTATTTTTCAATTCTAAGTAATTTGATAATGCAAAAAAAGCACGGCATATTACTTTAAAAGTGCTGAATGAAAATTATGTTGGAGATAATATCCAACTATATCATGATATTAAAAAATAAACTTTATTAATGATAGCCAAATACTTATCATTCAAGTAAAGCCAGCTATGTTTTATATTCATCACAAACACACACACACACACAAATATATAAATGAACACTAACTTTTCTCCATTGCCCCAGGCAAACAAGGTTCCATCCTTACTAAAGGTATAGACTTTGCAGTTTTTTCCAGACTCTCTGAAAATGACAAGAAAAAAGTTTAAATACTAGGCATTTGTATTTACTTTTAAAAATCTTATTAAAAATCCAATCTTAGTACTAACTTAATAACTAAGAACTTACATAAATTTTAGAAAATAATTCCAAAGTGATTTAGTTTACCAAAATATTTTATCTCTTCAAAAATCAATATAATTACTATAATTACCTATAATTACCTTTATTCAAGAATAAATTTAAAATGACAGTATCAATTTTCTATTAACAATAAAATACACTTAAGAATTTTGCATGCCCTCATACAGTTATGTCATCAACTTAGTGTAAAACTAGGTTTGTTTTCCATTTTAATGAAACAATTGCAAGGTTCAAAGTCAAAACTATACATATCAAAATTTATTCACCAACATGTTACCTGCATTCTATAGATCTCTCTTCCCCTAGATATAATCACTTTATTAATTTTTTGGTTTACCCTTTCATTGTTTCGTTGGAGAAAAAAATATATATCAATCTAGCTATGCATTTTTATATACACATATATACACACATATATAAATATATACACACACACACATATACACACATATTCAAATTTCCTTCCTCTTTTAGATCTTTTTCATTCTGTTTTCACAAAGACTATGGGGCAGTGGTTTGGTTATCACATTCACAAAGTTTTCCTCATTCTCCTAAGATAAAATTCTTCTAAGCTCAAAGCTTGAACTCATTAAACTGTTGTCCACACTTTTACTTAGTATTGGCCCCCAACCGCTTTTAAACATCCTTAAGCTATTATGTTCAAATCTAAAGATCATTTTTCTTGATAGAGACTAAGGATCCACTAATCCTGTTGCACTGTATGAAATATTCCAAGAAAGTAGCTTATCTAATTTTTTTTTTTTGTTCAGAATATAACAAAAATAACAGAATGTATTGCATCATGCCTTAAAACATCACTAACAAAATAAGACATACCTTTGAAACACAGTGCTTTCTGTAAAATGTGGTGGTCCATTCACCATATACAGTCCTTCTGATCCTCGGACTAAAGAAATGCAATGGAAAACACTCAGTTATCATAAAGTTTTAAAAACTTTTCAGTCAAAATGTCAAATTAGGCCTCCCTGGTGGTGCAGGGGTTAAGAACAGCACTATGAAGCTATTTGCAGCCTCTGCAGCACGAGTTCTATCCCGGCCTGCCAAGGAGCTACCCACATGGCGCAGCAAACCTCTCCTGTCTCTCCTCCTGCTCCCCTCAGCATTGTATTTCAGTCAGCCTGCCTGTTCTGTTCCCCACTCTGTCTCTGGTGAATCCTCTCACCCCCTGCACCTCTGGCCTATACCCCAGTTCTTGTATGCATAAATGAATTAAAAAAAAAAATCAATCGGGCCTCCCCTGGTGGCGCAGCAGTGGAGTGCTGGGCTGCAAAGCTACCCGCAGCCTCTGCAGCACCGGTTCAATCCCCGGCCACCTGCGGGGGGTCCCACATGGTGCGACAGACTTCTCCTGCCATGCCTGCTGCTCCCCTCAGCAGTGTATTTCATCAGTCTGCTGATGTATTTCATCTGCTCCCTGCTCTGGTGAATTCTCTCACCCTCCCACGCTTCTGACTGTACCCAGTGCTTGTATAAATAAATGGATAAATCTTTAAAAAAAAAAAACAATCAACAACTTTCCAACATGTACATATTCACATTCCAAATAAAGAAGATTTAAAAAAAAATCCAAGGTTACATATTCTGATTTCATTTATACTATCCTCTTGAAATGGCAAAATTATTGTGATGGTGACAGGTCATTGGCTGCCAGGTATTAGAAGTGGAAAGCAGGTCTGACTATAAAAGAGTAGCACAATCGGGCCTCCCTGGTGACCTAAGGGTAAAGTCTCAGTACTATCACTCTGACTATTACCTGCCAGGGAGCTAAACCACCTGGCGCAGCAGACCTCTCGTCTCGCTGACTGTTCCCCTCAGCAGTATATTTCAGAAATCCACCTGTTCTGCTCCCCCGTCTATCTCTGGTGAATCCTCTCACCGCCCCCCCACACCTCTGGCCTACACCCCAGTTCTTCTATGCAAAAATAAAATCTTTAAAAGGGTAGCACAAAGGATCTTTGTAGTGCAGCTCTCAATTCTAATGGTAGTAGTTATATGAACCTACTCATGAGATAAAATTTCTTAGGACTATACATACACACAGACTAATGAAATACAAATGAGGATGGACGTTTAGTCAAGACTACTGTACCAGTGCAAATTTCCTGGTTTTGAAAATGTACTATATAACTATATAAGATATTATCAATGGGAGACAGCTAGGTGAAGAGTACATAGGAACTCTACTATTTTTGCAAGTCTTCTATCAAAATAAAAGACATTTTAAAAGTACATAATTTTTGGTAACACCTTGTTCACAGTATATCAAGAAATTAAGCCAATCAAAGGTTTACAATTCTCAAAAATGAATTTGCTTGGGCGTACTGGACAAAGTGTTAAAAAAAATTGAATATACCAACTTTGCACTAAAGCAAAAACATTCCAAAAGACAAAAGCACACATCAAAACTACCTTAAAGGCTGACGATACTGCTAGTCCCCATTAAATTAGACAATCTTCTTTGTACATGTTTTACAATAGACATGTCTATTTTAGGGGAACTAATTATTAAGTGAATTCTTCATAAAAATCACAGTCATTATAGTTTTAGTCATACATATAAGCCACTATTTAAAACAAATATTTTATTTCATCAGGTTCATAACCAAATATAAACTGTATTACTAGTTAATAAAAAATAAAAATGTACTCAAAACAAACTTCTCAATAACTGAAATTTTTTTTCTACAATACAACTTTCTAACAAGGAATTCACCTTAATTAGAAGCGACAGAAAGTGAAACAGTAAATAGAATGTGGAGATATTAATAGTTTGATATAATGCTTTCAGACTTGAGAGCTATGTGATTCCCAGTTTTTACTGATTTTCTCTAGCGTGGGTGTGGGAACAAGTAAGTTGCCCCAAATTGAGAAGATAATTTAAGAACAAGCAGGCACATTCATTAATCACATGTAAAGTATTGTAAAGGCAAATTACCTACAGGGATCCATGGCATTGGAGCCAATTGTGGGAAAACCAAAATAACTCCATTTTGTACTGACACCATCTTAGGCCTGTTTCCTATAATTGCCCTACCCTGAAAAGACAGTCAATTTCCCCATTGTTTCCTTCATATATATTATCCTATACACAACTCTCTTAATGTTAGTGAGACAAAACAGAACATGTGCGTGACATGTCTTCCTAGAAATCTGTAAGAAATCAGTCTTACACAATAATGATCACACACACTAAGCGTGGTATAAGACCACTGTCTTCTTGTGGTGTGGCTTCTGACCCAAAGTCTTATCTACCACTCTGGTGCTAAGAACCCCTATTGGTAAATTGCCCTTAATAAACTGTAAATGTGTTAATGGATATGACTACTTTGTTTTTGGGACTCAAATTACCTTCTCAATTATCTCCCAGGGCCACATACCTCAAAGGCGATTGGTAATATGTTCTATAAAAAAGAAAAATCTAAAATGCAAACAGACCTTTTTTATTACGGCAATAAACAAATGCTCAAGTTTCACACAGGGTAACGGCTCAAAAACAGTAATTACATTAAATATTGTACCTATAAGTCTTTTCTAAACTTAGTAGCCTTTCTAGATACTTCCATATAATTTACTGCTTTAGGGCTGAGTTAGTAGAGAAAACTACTGGGTTTCAACATACAGAGGAGTCCTAAGTAAGGGATATGGTTATCATTATTAAATGCTTTTTCCACTTTACATCCATCAAGGTACATTATCAATTTAGGAAAATGACTCAATTTTAAATAAATTACCTCAATGGCCTCAACAAGGCAAGGTGATAGAAAATACTGGTTTAATGTAGGGACATTGCGTAGGGACATGCCTCACATTTGGGCACCTTCTTTAGAAGACTAATTTTCCTTTGGGAAATATCAGGGGAAAGAATATAATATGGTTCTGTGATTGATTTAAAAAATAACTGATTCAAAGATGAGAAGAACAAAGTGAAACCAAGCCAAAATGAAAGCCTAAGACTTGTTAAGAGTACTGGCAAAAATGCACTCTTCCCTTTAGGGCTGCTGAGTTGGTTGTATATAAACCTGGAGCTACCAAGTATAAAGATAACCTGAGAATGAATTCAATCAAGAAGAAAGCAAGAGACTACCGATTTAAAAAAAAAATTTTTTTTTGAGTCATGTGAGTATCTTGACTAGGCAGTGCTGTAGCTTTTAAGATCACATGGGTTTAAAAATAAATCTTCTTTTGGGGAAGGGGGGCCTCCCTGATGGCACAAGGGTTAAGACGAAACTATGAGGCTGTTCGCAGCCGCTGAAGCACTAGTTCGATCCCTGGCCAGGGAGCTACCCACATGGCACAGCAGACCTCTCTGGCTGGCCCGGCTGCTCCCCTCAGCATTGTTTCAGTCAATCCACCTATTCTGTTTCCCATTGTGTCTCTGGTGAATCCTCTCACCTCCCACAACTCTTGCCTGTACCCCAGTTCTTGTATGCATAAATAAATAAACCTTTAAAAAAAAAATCTTTTCACCTTCTTTGGTTTTTGGCCATTTCCAATTAAGAGTCATGGTGAAAGAGTTACTGAATATTCTCCAATTTATTCACAATTCTGAAATCCTTTGAGTCTAAGTTAAAAAAACTATCTTGGAAGTATTGGAAGTAAAATAATCTATTGTTGGCTAAAATACCAATACCAAGAATGTTTAAAAGACTAATTGATAATTGATCTGGTCTAGTGAAAGAAAAATAGACCATGGAGTTGAAGAACTGAATATAAACCTAACTGCCAATTTGCACTGTGAACCAGGACACTTAATCTCTCTGGGCCTCTATGAATATAAGAATTGTGGGGTAGACTGACTAGGCAACAGTTAAGCTCTTACAGAGTCCTTCATTTTAGGCATTTTATAAATTGTTGTTCTTGGTTAATGTCACTACATAAGTGGTTTCCACTATTAATTTACTCTTCGATTTAAACATTTAGAGTTTCTATTGTTTGCCAGTTACTGTACTTGCTACAAAGACAGGGGTGAATAAGAACTTGCTCTGACATCAAGGGGTTCACAGGATAGCCAAGAATAAAAATATCTAAACAACTAGGTAATAAACCTATGTGATCAGTTAAAAAAAAAAAAAAGTCAAAATGAAATACATACTAGGGGAGTCACTGTCTGGAAAGAGTAAGGAAAGGTTTCACAAAGCAATTATGTCTGAAACGAATTTTAAAAGATAAGTTTAACAAACCAAGAGAAATATTAGTCAAGGGTATTATAAGCAGGTCAATAATGATGGAAAATACAATACAATGGAGTAACAAGGAAATAAATGAATGTCAAGAGCAAGTCGAAGATTATAAAGGTTTCCACATCATGCTACACAGGATGGAGTTTATTCTGTAAGCAGTGAAGTGTCACTTTAAGGCCTTTTAATTTTTAAAAGGGGATGGAGGAATCACCAGATTTTTATATGTACTAACTTTTTGTTAGAGTTCAAATCAGCATTTGGCATTAAAATCTTCTGAATACACAAGTTACGTACATGAAACTACAGAAAAATTTAATTATGTAATCAGGCCTTTTTAAACAGCACCTGCCTAGATATTATTTGGCAAATTGTAGTCAGTTTTTGATGAATGTTTTATGAATTAATTAGGGTAGCCTGACTGAATATTAGTATGCATGGTGCCTAACAACAAAAGGTCTTAAAACGTAGAATGGTGAAAAGTGAAAAGGCTTTAAAGGTTCACGTTTCTAGAGGAAATAATCCCCTTCCCCCAAAGCTGACAAACTTTCTCTTAATGACTTCGTTCTCCTTCTGTATAAGTTAAGTTGTTAAGACTGTGACAAGTTTACAGTCTTGTATTTGTTTCTATCCCAACTCCACTCTCATTTGACACTCGCTTAAGAGTGTGGTCATAATCTAGTTCAGTCTTCCCTGACATTGTCAAAAGTGTTTATTATCTCCTCTGACATAATAAAGTCTGTCTCTGCATCAAAATCATAGTTCTCTAATTTGTGATTCTAAGATGCCCACGACCATTTCAATATCAAACGTTGTTAAGACTATCTACTAATGCTCAGTGTAACACTCCAGAACACACTTGCATCACTTGAAACCTATACTACCACAGTTCCACTCTAGTTTTTTGAATTCTACTAAGGCAAGGAGTAGAGACTTTGGTATTATTTAAATTCAGGTGTGTTTAATTCAGGTGTATTCCAGCGCACTGAGTCATATGTTCATACTTTTCCCTTATTACAAAACTAATGACTTAACGATTAACAAGGCCAGTCACCCGGCATTGCAGACCCTGGGAGAACTGAACCAGCACTTTCTGTCAGTTGCCATCTCCTATTCCTGCAGAACTTCAAGCGGCAGGGAAGAACGACAGACAGACGAAAGCAGGGCAGGCCGGAGCCCAATGGCAGAGGCCTCACTTCCGACTGCCACGCTACACTAAAAAACCCTACAATCCGTCCGGTCCTTCCGCAATTCATAAGAAACGAAGGATCAGACCCCAAGGCATTTCGGATAGTCCCCAAGAGAAAAGACACAAAGGGAAGTGCTCTGAAGAAACAGTCCCTCGCTTGTTCCGAACTCACCTGTCAGGAGCGGCGTGGATGGCGCCATGTTGTTCCGGAAAGAGAAACCCAGGCGCTCGGGTCAGAGTTCACGAGAGCCGAACCCGTCCCCTACACGTCTCCTCCGGCGTGGAGACCGCGAGAGGGTGTTTCCGGGCCCAGTACCCTCGGGGCCCATTCACTTCCGGCTAGAGGGCGCCCCATAAACGGAGGCCGAACGCGCGCGCGCAGTTCTGGGGCGACGCTTTACCAAGTGTGGGGGGGCTGGGCCCGGTGCGCCCGCCCTCGCCCTCCCTCTCCCTCCTCTGGAGCCGGCGGAGCCCTTACTTCCGCGGGGCGGAGTCCTCCCAGTGCTGACGTTGGCAGCCGAACCCGAAGCAGTGCGAGGCGACAGGCTGCACCGTCGGTTGTTGCGTTGCGTTTCCTTCCTCTTTCACTCCACGCTCCCGGCGGCGGCGGCGCGAGGCTCTCCCGGCGGCCCGCTCTTCGCCTCCGGCGCTCCCGCCTCGCTCGGCCGGCCCGTCCGGCGTCGTCGGGCTGCTCCCCGCGCTCGCTTCCAGGCCATAGGCCGAGGCTAGCGCCCTGCCTGAGCGCCTTCTCGCCCCGGCGGCGCGGGTCCGGGAGCGTCGCGTCGCGGCGACCAGAGAGGGACGAGCGAGCGAGCCCACGGGGCGACTGGGGCAGGTGGTGGTGCCGCGAAGATGGTCGCCAAGCAGCGGATCCGGATGGCCAACGAGAAGCACAGCAAGAACATCACCCAGCGCGGCAATGTCGCCAAGACCTCGGTAAGGAAGGAGCGGGCGTCTCTCTCCGCTCGGTAACCGGGACCGAGGCCCGGGGGCCAGAGGCCGCGAGCTGGACGATACGCTGGGGGAGGGGGTTCCGAAGGTGGGTGCGGTGGCTGGGCGACTCGGGAACGGAGGGGCGACCTGTGAGGTAGGGGACCCCGCGAGACCTGGCCCGCGTTGCAGGCCGTGGGACCCCGGCGTCGGAGTGGTGTTGCGTTTGAAACGTGCCTTTTCCTTTTTGCAGAGAAATGCTCCCGAAGAGAAGGCGTCTGTAGGACCCTGGTTATTGGCTCTCTTCATATTTGTGGTTTGTGGCTCTGGTAAGTGTTTTGGGGGCCACTGTCGAGTACGGTTTTGGCTGAGTTTGGGATGACGTGGTGACCCACCAGTGGTGAATCTGTCCACTTAGTTCTCAACCCACCTGCCGGGAGCGCCACATAATCCTATTGTATCTGAACCAAATTACTTGTCCCACATATGCTCAGATGGTGGTGCTCCAGAAACTTCTCCCAGCTTGATTTGTGCTCCCAGGAGAGCAGAAAAGAGGTCAGGTTCTTCGTAATGGTCAGTTTGGAAGAAATTTATACAAAAACACATCACAGAATGAGAATTTAGAGTGTTTGCGACCTAGTTATCAGTGTGTTTGCAGAATAGCCTATGAACAATATGTACATGTAGATGATTGAGCTTCATTTTATGTAAAAATTGAGTATGGTTTATGAAGTGAGTATAGTGCAGAGCTGATTCCCTCCAGAGGAAATTTACCTGAATGGCAATTTAATGTGTGATACAAATGTTTTTAGATTAATAAAAGAAACGCTTGGCATATGGTAGGTTATTGGCACAATCTGCTGTTAGAGTGATAGTCTTGCCTCTGCAAATGGATCACGGCCGGTCTTGCCATTCTTCACTTATTATCTTAGTATGCAAAGCTGTTAATGGTGAAGTATGTTTCTCTTTTCCCACATTTTGATATTCTGAAGTTACTGAGTTTTGCTAAACATTTCACTTTGTCTTCTAAACTTAGCCAGTTGGAAGCTTTCCTGTTAAATGGCCAAGAGCCAAGCAATTTATATAACTTAAAGATTATTGAATTTCAGCTTTGTGAGAATGAGGTGACATGCATATCATTGGCTTGGCCTTCAAAGGACGCTTAATTATTTAAGGATAAAGCAAAATAATTCCATGCTAGAAAAACCTGTTTGCTCTGGTGCTTTAACATCTTTCCAAACTGACTCCTTATCTGGGAGCTTTTTTGAACATTCAGAGATAAATTTCAGGGAGACAGATTTTAAAACAATAGCTTACAGGCATTTAATTGTCACATTAAGATAGCCCTGTCCTTGCTTCTTACTATAATGAAGTTACCTGGCACTTGTAAATAATTGTAAGGGTGCTCTTGAATTCTTGAACTACCTTAATAAATATTTGTAAGGTGCTAGACCCATTTTAATCAAAGCATGTTCTAACTTGTGCTCTTTTTCTTTACAGCAATTTTCCAGATTATTCAAAGTATCAGGATGGGCATGTGAAGTGTCTGACCTTAAGATCTTTCCATTCTCCTGTGAATTTTAACTTAAACTCATTCCTGATGTTTGATACCCTAGTTTAAAACAATTCAGTAAAGCATCCTGCCTCAGAATGACTTTTCTTATCATCCTTCATGTGTCATTCCAAGGTTTCTTCACAAATCATTCCAAGTTTTCTAGTCCATACCACAGTGCCTTGCAAAAGCACCACATGAATAAAGCAATAAAATTTGATTGTTAAGCTATAATAGTGGACCCTGCTTATTCAGTCAGTAAAGACTTTTTTTTTTAATGTGTTCTTAAAACAGTATACAGTATAATTAGATTAAATCTGTGTAGACGGGGTCTAGATTTTGCTTACCCTAATGTGTAAATGCAGTTAGCTTAATTTAAAATTTGGAATCATGGTTTTTTTATATCTAGGCACTTTATTACTATCTCATGAATTGGAAGCACACTCCCATGTAGCATCATGTAACTGTCCTGTAAGGTGCTTATAAGTGGAGCAACTACAGTTAGCCTAGTTTCTCCAGTTTTAAGCACCTAAAAAATTTTAAAAGCTTCTAAATGCCTAATATAAAGGGAGATGCTTATAGCCACAATGTCTATTTTAACAATATCTCTATTACACTACCTTGGATTTTGCATGAATGAATATACTAACCTAAAATGCCATAAAAAAATTGGCTGTGCATTTTGCAACTCAGTCACTTAAGTTTCACTTCACTAAAAGCTACCACGGGTGGAGTAAAGTCAGGGAAAGTTTGTTTATGTCACATTGATTTGACCAGAATCACTTTAATATATCAAAGGAATCTACTATCTTAGACAACATTTTAGGGGAAAATACTACTAAAAATGGATGCTTCATCAAGACATACTGTTGAGTCCAGTGTGCCATTAGACATCTTAGCATGTTGATAGCACTTTTAATACCAAAAAGGCACATCAACTAAAAATTATACTTAGTTTGGAAATGCTTTTTTTGGGTCTATGGTTAAAATGCTGTTCGGGTACTAGATATATCAGATTAAAGCGTCACCTGAAATTAAATGGATTTACTGATAGTCATTCTTTTTTGTCTTCCCTTTATTGTGTGATTTTATCGGCTATGTTGATCTAACTTTAGTATTGGTAAGGGTGAATGATAAGGCAGGTTTTGGGTTTTCTGGTATTGTTGAAAGCTGTTAAGTAGTGGCAATTTATGTACTTAGCCATATCTTGATGTGAAAAACCTGAGAGCTGTCTGTATTAATGAATTGGGCAGAAAACTGCTTGTTTCCCGTAATTGCCTCAGGTTACCTCTTTTAAAATAAGCTGTTTTACAAGGAACAGAAGGGAAATCTACCTACCTTTTACACAGTGTGAACCTCTCTGTCTCTTTATACCCCCAATTATGGGGGAGAGAGAGGGAGAGGAGTGGTTAAGAACATTTAGGAACTTTACTCTGGAATAGGAAAAGTATCAGCTGACCTTGGGTCAGCAGGTTTTTTCCTGCATTGTTACCTGCCTTTATCACCCAGGAAATCAACCCCTGTACTTGTTTCCCTCTGAAACAAGTGTCTTGATTAATTGATTCTATTTTATTTTAACTTTAAAAGTGAAAGTTCTAAATTCATAGCAGGTGCCTTATTTTTTGCTTTGAGTCAGACCATTCCGTATCAGACTATCCCTTTGTTAGCTATAGAAAATTGGCTTTAAGATTTGTTTTTTTTTTTTAAATGTATAATATCTTTATTAATTTGACTGTTAAATTGCTACAAGTAGCAACTGTTTTACATATGTGAATTTCCATTCCCTTTGTATTTCATGTGTAATTTACCAGTTGAGTGCATTTTATATTAAGAATGGATTATGCATGTTTGGGTCAATAAAAGCTGTGTCTTACCTGATTTATCCTTAAAAATAAAGTTCCCTAAATATTTGATGCCTTCTAAAAGAAAATGATTTTACAGTTCTCATATGAGTGTTTTTTATAATTAATAGAAAATATTTTAAAGACTGCCTAGTATTGTGTTGTACTTGAGTTAAAAGAATTTACCCAGAAGAACAGATTTAAGGTTTATAGCTGGAAATAGCAAGAAAAGTATGTAAAAGGCACAATGAATGAGATATTTCCACACCTAGGATTTACCCTCCTCTTGTTAATATCCAAGTCTGGTTCAAGGAAAAAGCACAATTCTTTCAATCTCCCTTTCCCAATATTATATGCCATCTAATGTTAAGCACAGTATGAAATTAAATACATTATTGGAGTTGTCTACATTATCCAATTATTTTTTGTAATTTAGCTATAACATCTCAAGTTGTCAGTGATTTCATTGTATCTATTTGGGTTACATATAATGTTGATCAAAATAATTGAGTTGGTTTCCAAAATCAGTAAAGATTTTTATTGTAACTGGATGCATTGTAATGGGTTGACTTGCATTAAATATGTGTTTACCCAACGGCAGGGTCATGGCTTTTCTGACATTACGGGATTTTTGTCGCAGCAGTGACCATGTAGCTGAATTGTGTTCTTGGGTTCAATAGGAATGTCATCACATTTCATGCTTGAGCATCTGTAAATTTTAGAATATCACATTTTCCATTTAGAAATTGCTCAAGTTTAATCTTAATTTTTAACTTATTTTAGGTGCATGTCATAACTTCAAGAGGTAGGATTTGATTTCAGCAGCAAATTCTATGACATGTCCTCAGCAAATCCTTCCTCTCGAAACTTAGCACCACTGTAGCTACTTGTATTACTTTATGTTCAAGTTGAATTAGGACAAAAATGTGCTGATTTGAAAGAGCACTAATGAGAATAGAAGGCTAGAACTGAAGCTGAAAGGGAAAGGTCACCTGTCTGGACTTAGAAAATTAAAAGTTAAGTCATATATATTACAGAATCATGAAGATGGAAGGCATGGTAAAAAGTCCAACCCCCTCATTTTACAAAAAAATCAGATTAATTTATTCAATGAATATTGAGTAACATACATACCAGATAGAATAGAGGTGCAAATACAGAGTCCCAGCACTCAAGTATCTTTTAGCCCAGTGTGGAGGAACAGTTAAATGAAAACATGACCATAATTGTAGTAAGTGATTTAAAGAAAAGTAAAGCCAAATAAATGGTGCCTTTGCCCTTACAGAGATAGTTGAGGTAGAACAGAAAATCAAATCAATTTCCTGATGACCACTACTTATGGCAAGACATCCACACAAAACACTGCTGTTTTCATGAATTCGTTGCTTCTGCTTTTAGAAAAGTCAAATTTGTTTTCCATGTTGCCACTTCAAAGAAGAAAGGAAAAAAAAAAACGATCTTTATGGACATAATTTCTTTTGAAATGAATTTAAGTGTCAAAATTTACTATTGGCAGTAATGTTACTCTGGTCACTAGTGTTATCAGCCAACATTCAATAGTATTTGGTATGAATTTATTGATTTAAAATTTTTCATCAGCAATGCTGAAAAATAATTCTTACTAATAGCCCAGTTGTCAAAAGCAAAATGTACCATGTAACCTCCAAAGATACTTTTTATATCAAAAGTTTAGTGGATATACCATATGTGACTTCTGTATTGAGTGCAAGTTTCTACTTTGGGATGCAGATAAATTAGAACAACTCTGCAACTTTAAATAAAGTACCGTTCCAATATTATTAAGTTTGGTAACTTTTTCCTCTTTTCTCAGAGAAGCTTCTGAAACAGAACGAGAATAGTTGATTTTTAGAGCGAGAAGGAACTTCAGAAATGATCTTGATTAGTTCCTTTATTTTACACTTGAGAAAATGATGACCTAGAGAAGTTATTTTTCCCAGTACCAATGAATCAGTAGTAGAGCACAGATTAGAAAACTGATCTTAAAATGACCAAACTGGTTCTTTAGTCGGTTGAGTGCCAAGGATTATGATTCTGTAAGACTCTCCTCTTACTTTAAGAGATTTTATATTAATCTTATGAAACCCCATGATGTTCCATGAAGGTAAAACCTGAAGATTTACAATGACCACTCAAGGCTGTTGGAATGAAATAACTTTAGCTTTGATTTTAGGGACACTTTACAACAAGATCCAATCTATTTTTCTTTTCAGCCTTGTCCCCAACATCTCCCTTCCATAGACCTATTTTAGCCCAGAGTCTACTTTCATTTTTCAGATACCTTTTTTTTAAGTGTTTTTGTTCATTTCCCCTACATTATAGTACTACTTATCCTTTAAAGTCTAGCTTAAATTCACTGCCTCTGTGAAGTTCCCCCTTTCTGTGGGGATCAGAAACACTCTTTTGGGATTGATGACTCTGGACCAGCAAGCATTTATTGTTTTGCCATGTTTATTCATTTTGTTTCTTAGTTTTGGGCTAGCATATGGAATTCTTTTTTTTTAAGATTATTTATTTATACAAGTGCTGGGTACAGTCAGAAGCGGGAGGGTAAGAGAATGCGCCAGAGTCAGAGCAGGGAACAGAACAGGCAGACTGACGAAATACACTGCTAAGGGGAGCAGCAGTCGCTGCAGGAGAGGTCTGTTGCGCCATGTGGGACTCTCGCCAGAGGCTGGATATCGAACTGGCGCTGCAGAGGCTGCAGGCAGCTTCGCAGCCCAGCGCTCAACCGCTACGCCACCAGGGGAGGCCCGGCATATGGAATTCTTATGAACCTAGGCTGTATCTTTCTATTTTATTTTTTACTTAGATTACTTACTCTCATCACTCCAAGGCAGTGTGAAACTTCACGTATATAGGGGGAACGCAACATATTAGCTGAGTGATAAAGCAACAGAGCAATGAATGTCATCTCATATCAGACTCATCTTGAAAGTCAGGTGTCATAAAACCACCTAACTTGATACAACAGTCATCCCACATACTTCCAATCCTGCCAATCTCTAGTTAATGGCTGGGATCAGCACCAAAAATCAATTTACCATTGATGGGCTTAATATTTGGAAACACAGGGCCTCCCCAGTGGCGCAGCGGTTGAGCGCTGGGCTGCGAAGCTGCCCGCAGCCTCTGCAGCGCCAGTTGGATACCAGGCTGCCAGGGAGAGTCCCACATGGCGCAGCAGACCTCTCCTGCCGTGCCCACTGCTCCCCTCAGCAGTGTATTCCATCAGTCTGCCTGTTCTGTTCCCCGCTCTTGCTCTCGTGAATTCTCTCACCCTCCCGTGCTTCTGCCTGTACCCAGTGTTTGTATAAATAAATAAATAAATCTTTAAAAAAAAATATTTGGAAACACATCAACAGCGGTGTTTGTCTTCAGTCGCATTTGGGAACTGTTGATAAGTGTCCTTGAGAAAAAAGTACTTTGTAAAGAAAACTGACACCTCACCACACCAGTTATTCCGGTTATAAGGAGAGTCAAACAACCATGCTTGCCTCTTAGAACAGGCTTCTGTGGGCTGTAAGCAGCCTTTACCCCCTACCCCATCTAGGACACTGAAAGAGAGATGACTTGTTTTCCCAAAGTCGAGTTTACCAAATCAGAACTTATATATTGGATGAAAGAGACTCCCGAAGACCTTCTGGGAAAATGCCTTCCTCACCCAGCTCGAACCTCCTCAAGAGGGCTCAGCTCCCCGCAACCCTGGGCGCCGCGAGGCCAGGGTGAACTATCAACACGAGGTTGGTGAGAGGTTGGTTGGTTTTGTTGTTGTTGTTGTTTTTCTGTTTGACACACGGGACACCAGTTATTGCATAACTGTAGATTCCAAGGCTTGAATGCACTCGAGATTGAGACATACTATAATTTCTGACAAAACCCAAATCATAAAGATAAACACTGGGAGTGCTCAAGCCTTTCTCCACCTAGCTCCTTGGTTACCCATACACAGCACACTTGTTAATTACAGACGGGTTATATGGAGAAGGAAGCTGCCACGAATGAAAGCTATGCCCCAATCTTAAAAAATCATTTCTGCTTAATTGAAAACAGCACCAGGATATTTTTCAAGTTTGCCTAAATTTTGTTAAAGTCCATCTAATCTGCCAAGTACACGCTGGGAAAGGGGATCAGTTGAATTTAGTACCTGTGTAAATGGTCTGCTCTACTACTCAGGAGTGTAATCCAGGGATCAGCAGTAACCTGGAGACCTGAAAGAAATGCAGACTCTTAGTGATCGCCCAAGACACACTGAATGATAATTTGCATTTTCAGTTTCCCCAAGTCATTCATATGCAAATTAACCCTTGAGAAGAGTTGAAGAGAGCTCTGGGTTCTAGTTCCAGCTCTGAAACTAATTAGTGCCCTAACCTTAAGCCAATGCCCCAATATCCTGAGATTTCATCCTCTTTGTCAAAGGAAAAGGAAACACCTTCCTTTATCATACAGCTCTTATGAAACCTGATGATAGTGAAAGGACTTTGAAAGTTAAAACTCCTCTGCAAATAAGATCCCATTAACTGAGAATGCATAAACAGAAATCTCTGATAGGTAGAAGGAACTTGTTCTTTTTAAAAAAGAAAAAAAAAAGGTAACCTTCATACTTTATTTCATATTTACTTGCTACTAAAACATCTTGAATTATAATTACTTTTCTAAAGTGTTGCCTTCTGAATGGCTTTTCAAAAATTACAGAACTGTGGATCATATTCAGCAAATTAGCCCCCACTAAGAAATATTTTGCATATCCCAAGTCCTTAAGGAAGATTGATTGCATTTGTAAAAGTATAGAAACCAGCATTGGTCTCAAAGACTCCTTGTCCCTACCAGTTATCCCTGCTTCAGATGCTTATGACACCCCTTCTATCTCATTGCATCAAATTACCATCAATGGGGAAGTGCAGCAAATGACATTTACAGGTAATGGCATCCCAGACTTGAAAAAGGCAGTTGGCAAATATATAGACTCATAAAACTTGCCCTTGAAAAAGCTTGAATTCCTATTTTTTAAAAAATAATTTAGAGGCTATAGATGAAATTTATTTGATGACTTCACTCATTTTTAAAATAAACTTAGATTTTCAGAAAAGTTGTAAAGACAGTGCAGAAAGTTCCTTTTTACTCTTCACTCACCCTAATTTAAATATCTTATTTAGGGCCTCCCCGGTGGCGCAGCGGTTGAGCGCTGGGTTGTAAAGCTGCCCGCGGCCTCTGCGGCGCCGGTTCGATCCCCTACTGCTCCCCGGCCACCGGAGGAGGGTTCCACATGGCGCGCAGACCTCTCCTGCCGCCCGCTGCTCCCCTCAGCAGTGTACTTCGGTCCTTCTGCCTGCTCTGCTCCCCGCTCTGGCTCTGGTGAATTCTCTCACCCTCCGGCGCTTCTGACTGTACCCAGTGCATGTATAAACAAAAAAACAAACAAATAAATAAAACATGCCTCTATTAAAAAAATATATATAAATAAATAAATATCTTATTTAACCATGTGAACATACTGTAAAATTTTCTGGGGAACTCTCTCCCCCCTCAGTCTCGCAGGTAAGACAGCAAAGCCCTCTGCGTGTCTGAAACAGCTATGCAAAAGCTGATGTCTGCAAATAAAGTCAGTGTTTTCACCCTCACTGATGACCAAGTGTAGGGTAAGGAAAAAGTATCAGGCTTTTCTGCCCTCCCGCCATTAGGATAGATGAGGGAACCCTGTGGTCCTGAATGCATGCCTGATGGCGGGCACCTGAAGTGGGTACACCTGGGCTGAGAGACTGGGTTTATAAGGGTGTCGTCACGGGGACGCCAGCGGAAGCCAAGAACAAACAGAAGCCGAGAGAAGAAGAAGAGAAGCAGAGAGAATACCAGAGAGCCCAGATAGAGTGAGGATTTGCTTGGGGCTGGGAAGACTGCCAGCCTCCCGGCCCCCCAGCACTCCTGCCTGCCATATGCCTGGTAAATCTAAATAAAAGACCTGCAAAAGCCACTGAGGACTCTGACTCCTCCTTTACCTGGTCTGCTGGATCAGAAAACCTGCTCAGTGGCCCTTCCTGCCCTTACAATGGGCGTAAGTCGGCAAGATGATCCATCCATCCATGGAGCCTCTGAAGACCTGGGGGGACTGAGGAGTAGCAGACTGTGTTTGCCTGTGACAACACTGGACATATCATGGCGGCACAGGAGATGGACAAGGTCCAGGAGCTGCAGGACGAGACCTCAGCTGGAGGAGGAGAGGCCTGAGAGGACCAGCCAAGGACTCCCAAGGCAGCAAGAATCGCCAGGGAAGATAAGACCATGATTCAGAGCTCGCCAGTGCTGATGCAGGGAGAGGCCTAATGGACTAGGACTGACAATCCCACCAGAAGGTGGAGGAACCTTGGCAGGTTAAGTTTTGTGGACACTGGGGGAGGATGCTATTGTTTGTAAACCCCAGGAGATGGGAATCTGGGGGTGGCCAGTAGGCCTTGATGGCCAAAAGCAGCCTGTGTGTGCCCAGCAGCTAGGCAGAGGAGAAAAGCTGATTTTGAGAAGGCATAAGCTGGTGCTAAGTTGAGAAGTCCTGAGCGGCTGTTAAGCAGCCTGAGTATGCTGAAGGCCAGTGAGTCTCTTAAAATCACCTGTGGGTGATGCCCTGCTCGTTCTTGAGTGAGGGTCAGGAGCTGAGGAACCCGTCCTTGGGGGACGAGCGGGGAACATAGCTTCGGCCCAAGCTGAAGAAGGGACCCAAGAGAGGCTGCATGTAGAGTTTGGATCCCCGACCCATGTGCTTGTGCAGTGGGTTGGCCTGAGTGCAGGGGTCTG